TAATAAAATAAAATAATCAATATACTAAAAAGAAAAAAAGAGAATAAATAATACATATAAATAAAAATTATAAAAATAAAAAAGAATAAAATAAATTGCATAAATAAAATAATGATAAATAATTTGCATCAATAAATTAAACATTTTTTATTTCATATTTCTAATTTCTGTAATAAAAAATGCATCATTTATTTCATCATTATTTTCATCATTTATTATCTCATTTTGAATTATTCATTATTATCTTCTTTCATTTTATAATCTCAACATTCTACTTTTATTCTTTTCTTTCTTCTTCTATTCATAATTTCACTTTTTTCTTTTATATCATTCTTTCTCTTCATTTTTCTCTTATTTGCTTTTTTTTCGTTGCCGATAGGAACAAATAGAAAATATAATAAAAATAATAAATAAAATATGATAGAATAATTTCAATAGTTATTTCAATTAATGGCTTAGTAAATAAAGAGAGGACTAAATCAACAAAGGGTTAAAGTATTGAAATAACAACACTAACGAATTCAAAAACATTAAAGAAGAATATGATGGATATCATGAAGCATTTTTTTTCTAACACAACTAAACATACTTTATAGCTGTAATTAATATTACTCATGTAGTTATATTTACCATTAGAATAATGAATAATTATAGTTATTGTCATTCAATCATAACCATAATCACTTTGTTATAAATTATCATAAAAATCAATTTTATCAAGAGTTTATTCACAATTCAACACACCCTTATTAAAAAACAATTAATAAAAGAATAGATATTAAAATTTTAATAGAATTTAATCAATATCAATATTATTAAACATATAAACAAAATATAAAGAAAATACATAAAATGTAATGCAAAAGAATCATAGAAAGGTAAATGAACAAGAAAATTACATTCAAAAGTTATTAATCTTTTAGAACATCATTTTTATTCATAACTTATTAATATCATCTTTTAACTAGATTAAATTTAAACACTTTGATTTTGATAATATTTATTCATATAAATATTTTTCTTAAATTCTTTTGATAAAACTTATTTATAAGAGTACACTTTTATTCTACTATCTTTTTATTTCTTCTTTTCATTACAATACTTCTATTTATTTACTTCCATTCATAATTTCTTCTTTTTACTATTACTTATTCTTATCTGTTTCTTATTTGCTATTTTCTTCTTTTAATTATGTATTTCAGATTTGTTCTTTATTATCGTTATTCTTTCATCTATCTTTTACTATTTAACGTTATTCTATATTTCATCTTCTTCTTTTTCGATATTTCTTTTAATAAAATACAATAATAAGTTAATTAGAATACATCCAGTATTGATATAACAAATAGTAAAGATCTTATAATGACATTAGTTTTATTATTATAAATGAAATAAAATCAAGTTCTCCATCTTCTTCTTATTATTATTCTTTTATAATATTTATCTGTGTTATTCTATTTTTCATTTATAAAATAAATAAAAACTAAGTATAAACATTATTCCTTTATTATTTCATGTTCTTTTATTCGTTTA